TATTATAAAGCAGATAAAGGGAAACAGCCTGAATTTCTTCCCCTCCTCCTCCTCCCCTTCTGTAAAGTAGGGTCTTAATTTACAGTCCAGACTGAGGGGCTCACATCAGACTAGCTCCGAAGCCTGCCTCTGCTTCCCGTGTTGGAATTAAAGGATAAAAGGTGTGTGCCACCTGCATTTCCTTCCTTCCTTCCTTCCTCCCTCCTTCCTTTCCTTCCCCCCTCCTTCCCTCCTTCCTTCCTCCTCCCTCCCTCCCTCCCTCCTTTCCTTCCTCCCTCCTTCCTTCCTTCCTTCCTTCCTCCTTCCCTCCCTCCCTCCTTCCTTTCCTTCCTTCCTCCCCTCCTTCCTCCTTCCTTCCCCCTCCCTCCTTCCTCCTTCCTTCCTCCCTCCTTCCTTTCCTTCCCCCCTCCCTCTCCTTCCTTTCCTTCCCCCTCCCTCTCCTTCCTTCCTCCCTCCTTCCTTCCTTCCTTTCCTTCCTCCTTCCTTCCTTCCTTTCCTTCCTTCCTTCCTTTCCTTCCTCCTTCCTTCCTTCCTTTCCTTCCTTCCTTCCTTTCCTTCCTCCTTCCTTTCCTTCCTTCCTTCCTTCCTCCCTTCCCTCCTTCCTTTCCTTCCCCCCTCCCTCTCCTTCCTTTCCTTCCCCCTCCCTCCTTCCTTCCTCCCTCCTTCCTCCCTCCCTCCTTCCTTCCGTCCTTCCTTCCTCCTTTCCTTCCTCCTTCCTTTCCTTCCCCCCTCCTTCCCCCTCCCTCTCCTTCCTTCCTTCTTCCTTGCTCTCTCCCTTTTTGAAAACAGATTTATTCATTTTATTTTATGTGTGAGTGTTTATATGTATGTTTGTGTGTGTACCACGTGCATCCTTGGTGCCCAAGAAGGTCAGAAGAGGGCATCCAATCTCCTGGAACTGACGTTCTGGATGGTTGTGATGAGCCATTGCTCCAGCCTCCTGCATCTCTTTCTTAACTAAGTTATGTGGAAATGGTAAACTGTGTGAACTCGCTGCCTGCCAAGGGCCTTTCTTCCAAGGGTAGCTCATTCACTCCTGGTCACTTATTCTATCCAGTTCTCAGTGTGCCCTCTGCTGGTGGAGCAGAGAGCAAGTGACAGAAGCAAATGTGGCTGCACTGGGGGCGGGGCGGAGGGCGGAGGGTGGACTGTGGAAATGGTCCTGTTTAACCCCCGCCCCCTTTTCCCTATCTGTGTATGAATCTCGGCTTTTCACATTGCTTGGTTTATCATGTAATTTTCTGCCACTCTGGACCCACTTCCCTCTGGGCTTATTCTCACTTCTGCCTGCTTTTCCCTTTCCTTCCGTCTTCCCCTCTTGGATCTCCGCATTGTTCCAGAAGCTGTCCTCCGAGGCCAGTGGTTGTTGAGTTCCTCTCAGTTGCCCCACCCCCGCCTTGGTCTAGAGGTAGCTTATCAGCGTCTTCAATGTCACGATCATAAAGGCACAGACAGAAACTCTTGCCCCTGCCACTCAGTGTCCCACCGGGATCAAGAGGCAGAGAGAGGCCACGAACCCTGGCTCCTCATATGGCTTTAAAAGCAGCGGCACTGGGGGTGGCCTGCTTGTGTGGGCTGGCATTTCTGGATCCATCTGAAGGCAGAGGGATGGATGAGATGATCTCAGGAGGGCTCTGCCAGATCGAGGAGCAGGGAGCCTCCTCTCAATCATCATCAATTTAGATTTATTGGAAGCCCCCCGGGGGGGCTTGGCACTGTACTAAATGGTTGTATACTGCAAGCCCTGAAATCCAGTAGCTGCCTTTTTAACACTGTTTAAAACACTGCACCACTGGGCTACGCTTTTGTTAACACATTATTAATTACTACAGAGTATGTTTTAAGGATTGAAACCATAGGACTTGGTTAGTAGTGTTGGGACTATCTTCACTTCTTTTAGCACCGTAAGCCCCTATAGGACTCCTCTGCGTATGGGAAGATGGGAGGCACACTGGACACGGGGCTGGTGTGAGTGCAGGAGGGAGTCACACTGGGGCTGGCAAAGGGTAGAGGTGAAGGTGGTGTCTCAGGAGAGAGGCGGGAGCATGCAGGCGTGCCCTGGAAATAGCTGCTTTTATTTTGTTCAATATTTATTGAATGTCTATAAGTAATTCTTAAGATATCAAATCTATAATCTTGAATAAAATACAACTGAAATCCATATATTTGTGAAGCTTACATTCTAATAGTGAGAGGTTTTTTGAAAGTGAATGAAGTTGATGTCACATATTATGGCAGCAGATGAGTCCAAGAAGCATCTAAATTCTAAGAGGATGGCAAGGAAGAAGGGCCAGCCTGAAGAGCCAGGGGAGGAGCCCATGCTCCATCTGGAGAGGAGTGGGGTGTCCCCAATAGAGAGAGGGCTGGGTGGGTAGGCACAAAAGACAGGAAAGCCACTCAAAAAGCCAGTTTGGTGAGGGAGTGATGAGAAAGGGACAGATCTGAAAGGCAGATTTGTGAGGGAGAAATGAAGAGTGTTGTCGTGGTGAGGTCTGCAGATGGGGAGGAGGGTACCACCAGGCCAAGTGGGAAGAATGGTAAGGGTGAAAAGTTGGAGAATTGTTGAAATTTCCATTTGGGACTTGAGGAATCTGAGTCGATGGAAATGAAAAAAATGGTGTGACCAAGATCTCTTAGCAAGAGGAAGAAGGGGACCCATGTCCTGAATCTTTATCAAAAGATTTATTTGTTTTTATTCTATTATTTTATGTACATGAATGTTTGCCTGCGTGTGTGTCTGCACACCATGTGCATGCAGTACCTACAGAGGCCAGAAGAGGGCATCAGATGCCTTGGAGCTATAGTTACAGATGGTTGTGAGCCACATTGTTGGTGGGTACTGGGAATAGAACACTGGTCCTGAGAGAGCAGCCAGTGCTCTTAACCATTGAGCCATTTCTCTAGCTCCCAGGCCTTAATCCTGCAGAAAACAAAATGTTTGTGGCCAGGGATGAGGTAAGGTTGGTACTTTTTCTAGACACCATGAGGCACCTGAATGGCAAGCTGCTTATGGGGAGGTAAGAGGCAGTTTGGAGCCAGGCTGGGGACATGGCCTCAGGCAAAAGTCTCCGTGGATCCCGAGGAGAGGGTGCGGCGTGAAGGAACAGGTGTGGACTCGCTGGGAGGAAACAGTTACTGACTACAGGCCCAGTGGGAGGGACTACAATAAGGCCTGCCTGTGGGGTGCTGTGTCTTTGTATGCCCCTTCTCTTATACACCATTCCCTGCACTTGGGGCCCAGTTCACTGGACATGCCTGAGGGGTGTGTGGCATGAGTGGTGTGGGGATGGGGGTTGCATTACTCTTCTCGCCCAGTCTGCTTCCCTGAGCTCCTGGGTGAAGGCACCTTGTGTTCTTTCCTACTGGTTGGTGGGTTGTCTTCTGGCTTTCTATTGTTTCCTTTGGGCAGAAAACAAAGGACTTGATGAAACTAAAAAACTCAAAACATTGAAAAAATATTTAAAGAAAATTCCTTTTATGTGTGTGTGTGGTGTGTGTGTGTGTGTGTGTGTGTGTGTGTGTGCACACGTGGTACACACCTATGTGGTGTATACATGTGGGCAGTGTATGTAGATGTTGTAGCCTGAATGGGTACATGTGGAGGCCAGAGGTTGGTGTTAGAACTTCTTCCTCAAATCAATTTTCCATCCCGCTGCTGCTTTAATTACATTTTAAATATATTTTATGTGTGTGCATATGTGTGAGAGAGACAGAGTCTGAGGACAGAGTTTGAAAGTTGGTTCTACCCTCTCACCATATGAGTCTCGGGGACTGAACACAGGTCATCAGGCATGGCAGCACCCGCTACGCCGTCTCTCTAGCCCTCTACCTTAGTTTTTTGAGACAGGGTCTCTCACTGAAAGCAGAGCGTGTTATTTCAGCTAGATTGGCTAGCTGGTTGGCCCCCAGGATCTATCTCTGTCTTATGGCTGGGGGTACGGCGTGCACCACCACACCTGACTACAGGGGGCTCTTTATGTTGGTGTCGGGGATCCATACGCAGACCTTCATGCTGGTACAGGTGACCCATCTCCCCAGCCCTAAAAGCATTTGAAAGGCTTTGTTTACAGTCGTGACAAAGACATCAGTGGATAGGATTAAAAGCAGTGGTGGATTTCAATTTTAGAATTGAGTATAGGTTCAAATATTTATATTCTGTGATAACACAGTCACGCCCCAGGGGTCAAGGTGCTTTCCCACCTCCCTTCCCTAGCTTCTCTCTGTCACCCTTCCCTCCAGTCCTCCTCTTCTGACAGACCTCAAGAAGCCCCATTGGTGCTGTGCAGGCAGCTCTGGCCAGGAGGGTCTGTGCAGGGAGAGATGGTGGCATGCTGGAATTAAGGATGAGCCGTAGAAGGGTACCAGGGGGCTGAGTGACAGGGATAAGGCAGTGCTAGGAGCTTTCCCATCAGGGCAGTCTGGTTAAAAACAGGAACCAGGTGGACAAGGAGATCTCATTCTCCGGCCTTTAGAATTTCTTAGCTTCCTTCAGACTTCAGATGAGACCAGATGACGCTGAAGTTTCTATCTTGACGTAAGATTCTATGACCTGGATCTAGTATGTGTGTCTGAGGGGCTAAGAGTCAGGGTACCACTTGCTCTTGGGGCCGGAGAGCTCCTGGGAGGACACAAAGCTCTGTGTGGCTCCAGTTCTCTCCAGCCAGCTTCCACATGACTTCCTCCTGGGCCTGCAGGTCGGGGTTTGGAGGCTGAAGCTGGGAGGGGGTAAGCAGCAAGGGGGCGGTGGGAAAGTTGGGGTCACTGTCGTGTGTGTTGCCTCCCTGCTTTTCCATGGTGGAGTCTACTGGTTAAAACCTTTCTTCCATTCTTTGTCTCCCCTAACCTTTCCCTGCTCCCCCTTGACTGCCCATCCTGTCTCCTTCTAACCATCTCTTCCTCTCTGAATGTGCTGTTTCCTATTTTCAACCGCTCACTCCTGGCCATGCTCCCACGTGCCTCTCCTTCCCCAATCTGTTGGCTTCTCCACTCCACTCCCACAGCAGAGGGGAAGGTGTACAGCTCAGATGAGGACAAGTTGGAGGCCCCAGCAGGAGACCCAGCAGGCAGCGAGCAGGAGGAAGAGGGCTCAGGCGGTGACAGCGAGGACAGCTTCCTGGACAGTTCTGCAGGGGGCCCAGGGGCTCTTCTGGGACCTAAACCGAAGCTAAAGGGAAGCCTGGGGACTGGCGCTGATGAGGGGGCACCAGTGGCCACAGGGGTCACCACGCCAGGGGGGAAAAGCCGAAGGCGGCGCACAGCCTTCACCAGTGAGCAGCTTTTGGAGCTGGAGAAGGAGTTTCACTGCAAGAAATACCTGAGCCTGACAGAGCGCTCCCAGATCGCCCATGCCCTCAAGCTCAGTGAGGTGCAGGTAAAGATCTGGTTTCAGAACCGCCGGGCCAAGTGGAAGCGCATCAAGGCTGGCAATGTGAGCAGCCGTTCCGGGGAGCCCGTGAGAAACCCCAAGATTGTGGTGCCCATACCTGTGCATGTCAACAGGTTTGCTGTGCGCAGCCAGCACCAACAGATGGAGCAGGGAGCCCGGCCCTGATCGGGCTCCTGGGGACCGGATGGCAAAGGATCTGCACCTGTGCCTGCCCAAGACTCACTGGGTGCTGCCAACTAAAGGGGACCAGTGGACCCTGCTCTGGGAGAGGTCAGCTGTGCTCCCTGGATTGCAGACATGAGTGCTTGGCCTGGGACTGTTCTAGAGACCCCAGAACTAGGGGCTTCAGGGCTACAGGGTTCAAATTGTGATCCCCAAGAGCTTCTGGAACAGAAGTGGACTCCTGGATTGGGGATATGAAATGCCCAGGGCCTAGAGGGTTCCACGGCTAAGACCTGAGAGGGCAGCTTCTAACGGAGGGGAGAAGTCCTGGGTGGTACCAGCCCGGGGCCACAGTTCCTTATTTATTTTGTGTAAAGGGTGTATATATGAACTGTTTTGTCTCTGTCTGTCTGGACCCTGAAAGGGCACTGGGAACACCACTTCCTTGAGCCTCATGCAGTTTGCCCCACCCTCCTGCTTTGTGAAGGCGCCATCTTGCTGCTCAGTACAAGGACATGCAAAAATGAGATGGAACTGTCATGGCCAAAGTGGGGGTTCTTCAGCAGCCCCCTCTTCCGCTCTTAAGCATCCCTCCACAGTGCACCCCTCATGTTCCCATCGCGTGAACAGGCAAACCTTTCTACTTCTGGCATCTTCTCTTTGGGGGAGGCGGGCACACTTCAGGGAGACCCCAGTTTAACCTGGAGAACATCCAGGTCACCTGCGTAGAGGACACTGTCCTGTCAGTGACTAGGGCAGGGCAGGAGGCTCACTCCACCATGTGAGCTAGACAGAGGGCATATAGCTTCCTTTACAGAGGGCATATAGCTCATCTCTGCCTTCACTTGCTGTCTCCTATGCCACAGTCTGAGGCAGACGCCCATTGCTTCTCTACCCTTGCAACCTTAGCGGCGTTTTCTCCTGTCCATTACATTGTGAACGGTTAGGGTCCCAGCAGCCTCTTCTATTACAGAACAAGATGGGTTGAAAGAAGCTGCTGCCAAATAGACAGGACAAGAGTCTGAGACGATTCCGGAAGGCTTTGGGGCAGAGATTATGGGCAAAGCAAAGCAGGAGCAGGGCTCTAGATATCTGCAGGTGTTGGGGAAAGGAGACTGAGAGAAGCGCGCTATGGCTTTTTGGGGGAGAAACACGAGCTGTATGGATCAGGGAGAGTAGACGACAGAAAAGTGAGCATGCTGTGGATGGGGCAGTGAGACAGTCACTGACAAGGGAGGAGCTGAAGCACAGCCCACAGGTGAGCCCCGGAGCAGCAAAGGAGTTCATGGCACATTCAGTTAGGTGTTGAATGCCTCTAATGAGAACAAGACAGTCCGTCCTTGGCCGTTCATTTCTCCTAAGCAACTCTCGAGTGTGGACATAGATCATAGAGCTATCTCTCTCTCCAGTCCTTGGAAATTTAACTTCAGTAAGGCTTGGGAATTTAATCTTGAATATGTAGTCCGATCCAGCCCATTCCCAGCTAGGTGTACCTAAGAGGCTCGGATCCCTTACACTTGATCTACCCAGAAGTGAAGACAGAGGTTCAGCAGAGCTGGGTGGGTCCAGGTTCTGTGAAGGGGTAGTGGCCAGCACCCAGGCTTTTGGCTTCCCATAAAGCTTCAACTGTGCAAAGCAGCATGGAGCTGGCCAAGCAGCTTGTCTTTAGGGAGTCCTGGAGTTAGCCCAGCCTGTGCCTGGGAACCAAGTCCTGTATCTATTCATGGCGCTGTCCAGACCCTGCCTTGTGTAGGGCTCTTAAGAGACTTGAAAAGGGGGATGTGGATGAAAAAAAAATAAAATCTGGTTTCCTCTCAATAGTGTTACTCGATCATTAACCGACATTTGGGTGAGGACCTAGGCAGAGCCCCAGTCCACTGTATGGCCACCTGTTCAAGGTGCTTCAGAAAATAAGGGCCATTAGCAAGGCAGTTCCAGGAACAGGAAGCAGATCCATCATAAACTAGGAGAGGCGTTTCCCTGGGGTTTCTTTCAGGAATAAAGGGATATGGCAGGAAGAGTGGGGGAGCTTAGCTGGGGACAGGTTAAGCTTAGGAGCTGCTGGAGGTCGAGGTGGCTGTTGGCCACCAGCACCCTGCCCCTCCCATGCCCTTGAAAGGCATGGGCCAGCCACTATCACACAGCTGTGCTCAGCAGTCTAGGGAAGCCTCCAAGCAGTCGTGGATATTGCCCAAGTGCCTCCGTCAACACTGGCCACAGGGGTCTTCGAGTCTCTTTGGAAGGAGCACACTGGCCAGTGCAGGACGTGGTTACTACCTAGAGCACTGATGACAGCAGAGACTACTGGTAAGTTTCCAGAAGTGGGCACGGGCAGTGAGCGGGGGATGGCAGCAGGAAGTAGAGCCCATCCCCTCTGTCAGGGGCAGGTTTGTCCTTTAAAGCTTCCCAGACTTTATTCCATCCCTGCCAAGAAAGGCCGAGGAGCTGATAGGAAGTGACTAAGGAGAGCAGGGGCAGTAAATCTTAAAATAGACTACAAAAGCAGAGAGTGGAGGTGAGGGTCACTCTGGGAAGGTTGAGGTATGGAGGCTCAAAAGGAGAAATGAGGCCACACATACAGCCTGGTTTATTGGCTCATCATACACACACACCACGTATATACACTAACATAAATACTCCAATGTACACATTTTACATGGGACTCACAGACTGGTCCCCTTGTCTCTCTCTGGCACCCCCATCCTGTGTCCTGTTCTTCCCCACCCATCGCAGGGTGAAGGCTTGTGGGAGCTGTCATGAGGAGGCAGGGTTCTGGAGGAGGGAGAGGTCCTGCCCCCCTCTCCTCACAGGTACCTCCAAAGGGTTTTGTCCCTTAATGGCACCGTAGGGCAGAGGGCTGCAAAACACACTCCTGCTCTGCTGAGCTCCAATCTCAGACCTCGCCTCCGTCCCTGACCCTTCTCCCTTCTTTGCTGCACATGGCCTGCTGCTGCATCCAGAGTCCTTCTGGCCCCTCTGCCCTCTTCCTGAGCTTCATAGGAGACTAGGGCTGCGGTGCAGCTCTGCGGAGGGATTCGTGCCATTGGCAGGCTCTCTGTTGGAAGTGGGTGCCAACCCACAGCCCTCACCAGGGCACCCATGCTGGATCAAGATGTCCGCACACTCCTGGCTGCCGGCCCGGCGGGCGTAGGCCAGTGGGGTCAGGCCCCTGGCATCACGGCTCCTCACGTCCACCCCGTACTGCAGGGAAAACATATTCACAGTTGGCGTGTGTGGGAGGGAAGGCCTCAGCTCACAGCCAGGGGCTCCCAGACTCACCCATATGAGCAGCTGGGTGAAGACCACATTGGCCATGGCACTGGACAGGTGCAGGGCTGTCCTCCCATCGCCGTCCCCGTATGTCTCATTCACTTCCTCCTTGGACCCATGGGCCAGCAGTGTCACCAACAGTCGCAGGTCGTCCTCCACCACAGCCCGGAGTAACTGCTGCCCCAGGGGCACATCCGAGCTTGGCAGTGGGGCCAAGAAGAGCTTCTGTTCATACTTGGCCCGGATCCAGCGCTCCTTTTCCTCTCTACAAGTACAGGTCCATCAGGGCATGAGGCAAGGAAGGAAGCAGGCATTTAAGCAGGGAACAGGGAGGACCACTGTGATGAGGAGAGAGGCACAGAGGAGCCCAGGGATTCCAGGGCCTTCAGAAGGGCAAAAGGTCACATAAATGAGGTGGCATTGAGCAAAAGAGGAGGGCACTGAAGGAGACCTCTGGGGCCAGTAGGGACATGAGGGCAGAGAGGGCAGGCAGGAAGATTCCAAGCAGGCCTGAGTGGCAGCTTATCAAGCCGTCTGAACCCTTTGCGATTGGTAGCACTGGAACAAAGCCTGAGAGGGGGCCATGGCCGCCCTATCTACCACCCATTCTCCCCATCTCAGCATGCAGGCTTGGACACAGGAGCTACACAGTGATACGGACCCTGCGCATGCGCCTCGCACTGGCCCCTGACCTGCAGATAACAGCTCAGAAAAGGCCCTGTTGTTGTGAGGAGCCTGAGTGACAGGCACCAGCAGGGGAAAGACACCCCCAGGGGCCAACCGCCAAGCAGAGCAACAGTGTTTTAACCCTTCTAATACTATTGCTGCCATAGGGTCTATGCACCCCACAGTGGGAACCCGGCTGTCTCCTTCCTGGGTAGCACTGGAGCAACACTAGCTTACCTGCAGGCTTCAGGGCTTGGCTTCGAGTAGCCATCCAGAGCCCCCTCCCAGACACTGTTAGCCAAGGCATTGCCCATTGCAGTCATGACAGCTAGCAGTTCAGGTGGCCAGTCATCAAGGTCCAAGGAGCGGACCCGGGACAGGTGAGCCCCCAGGTGTCGGTGGATCCCTGAACACTCTATACACATCAGGGCACCCAGGTTCAGGCTGGCCCAGTCTGGATCTATGGGGGCAGAGAGAGAGAGAGAGATAAAGCAGGTGGCACCCAGAGGACCATTGAGGAAGCTCACCCCTTTTGCATACTGCCCACCACCCCTTGTCACTTGAACCCTACTCCCAGCTCCCAGAGCTATTGTCCTTGTACTCACTGGGGGCTTCACAGTCAATACAGAAGCTGTTGCCACGGACCGTGCGGACAGCCTGCACAGCCAGAGCTGTGTTCTGGTTCCCCAGCCGAGTCTGCCATGAGGCAGGAGACATAAGGAGAGATGATCAGTCCCAAGTCCTCTCTCTGGCTCTCCCACAGCCAGGCTCTCCCACCCCATGCCAACCTTGTCCTTGGCACTTCGACAGCCCTGTAGACTGGCAAGGATTTGGGCCTGCACGCTCTGCACCCACAGCTCTCGTTCTTCTGCCGTTGAGGCCTCAAAGTGCCAGGTCTGACCAGTGAGGGACACCACTACAAACTCAAAGGACTCCTCTGCCTCTGGGGAGAGAGCATTTACACGGTTAGGGCTCTTTGCCGGTGCACACTCCCAGGGGCACACCACTGCCGTAACTCCAAGCAGACCCTGCTCCACCAACACTCATCCTTTCCCTCACCATGTGCCTGTGCCAGCCCCATCAGTTAGGATTATTCGAAAGCAGGAAAACTGACTTCTCAAGACCAGTATGAGTCCCTGCTCTCCATTTCTAGCCACCTGTGGAGTCAGGAAATGGTGGGTGCCAGTGCTTGGCTTCCTGACCACTACCAGAAATGGACACCATGAGGGGGCACCCTGGAGGAGATGAGCTAAATGTGTGGAGAAGGATGGCGGGGTGCTAGAAGGCACATGCTGGGCAAGGAGGCGGGTGCGAGCACCATCCGTACGTGTCAGCTGCAGCCTCCTCATTTTGCAGCTCATTAAACCCAATATTCTGGACGGCGTCAGCACAGGGCTCCTGGGAGCTGGGCCCCTCCCCCACTGCCCTGGCATAGACAGGTTTTCTCCAGGAACTGGAGGGTAGGAACCAATAGGAACCCAAGGACATCTGTAGTGGCAAACACCGGGGCTGCACTGTGACCCCAGGGATCGTGGTCTCCCACTCTGTTCTGATCCTCTGGGCCCCTTAAAGACAGTAGCCATGGCCCCCAAACAGCTGCCAGTGGGCAGTGTGACTTGTCATGGCCCTAGTGTGACCCTGACCCTGCATTCTGCCAGGGTCATCCCTGATCCTAAGTTCTTGCTGCTTCTCTGTCCCAGTAGCCTCTCACCATGGTGAAGCCACACCCCTGGGAATCTTCACCTGCTGGGTTCCTGATCAGAGAACTGCTTTCCCCATGTGTAAACTGGTACCTCTTCTCTCCAGGTCCCTCCCCTTTCTTTCACACTCAGCTTTTAAACTGTGAGCTTCTCTACCACTTGGGAGGTCTTGAGTCCCTAGACCACAGTGGACGCTGCCTCCTCGACTTTGTACCACTGTCCACACCCATCCCCACAACAGTCAGAACAGAGACGAGAACTTGCCAAGTCCACAGAAGTCACTTATGTAGGAACCAAAAAACTCCCTGAGGCAGTTTGGGAAGACACTGGAGAAGCAGTGTTATGGTAACAGAGAAAGGCCAGGAGAACATTTGAGCTGGACCACGTTTGCTCCCAAGAGACTACAGAGAACACCGCCAACCCTATCTATACATGTGTGAGGCACCTGCCACGTGCCCAGAGAGCACCAGCCAAACCTACACATGTGAGAGGGACCTCAGCACGCATTACACTCCTGACTAACACAAGAGATACAGAACCAGCCTTGCTCGGCAGGTCTTGAAGAGCTAATGTGGCCTGCTGCCTGCCTTTCTCCAGGAATGACAGAAGCAAGCTCATCTCACCAGGAAGGATTCAGTAAGAAGGGTATAGGTTACTAGAGGGCCGTGAGCTACTTATTTCAGGAGTCATTCATACAAAGTGCTCCTCCATCTACCATGAAAACAACTGTGCTTTTAGGGTGCTAAACCCAGGTCCCACTGCCCACCTCTGGGTCCCCCTAACCTTCAGCAGCACTGCTGGGGCCGTCTGGTCGGGGGGTCCCGGTGCTCTTTTTCCGGCGGTGCTTCTTCCGGTTGGAGTGGGGAGATTGGGGAGGCTCCAGCTTGGGGTTGGAACTGAGTACCTCAGCTGGGCCACTTGCTGGTGAGGGGAGAGGTGGAGACGTGTGGGAAGAGAGAGGAGAGCTGGGCACAGGACGGGGGGAGAGCTACTCCTAGTCCTGCTCACTCTAGGTGGGTGGTGAGAGGCACCTTCTCTGGGCCAGGGGCTGCCCAGGCCTCCCAGCCCCAAAGCTTCCTGCCCTGGAGGAGGCAAACTAAGAAGACCTGGCAACTTAAGCAGAGCTGGATGAAGGCAGAGGGAGGCAAGTGCTTCTGCAGCCTGGAGGGGTGGAAGGCGGCCCAGGGAACTCACAGGGAGCTGGAGCCCCAGCAGCTCCGCACCAAATTTATCCTCAATCACACTCCCCGCTCCTCACAATTAATAGCAGAATTAGAAACAATCAGGGAGCTGCCTAATTACTGTCAATTAGAGCGCGCTAATCAAGCTCCGCTCCCACACCCCGCCCGGTGCTCACCACTAAATGTCAAACTTCATTAGAGGCAGACACACTCCCGCCCTCCCTGACTAACTCCTTCCAGACTCAACAGAGGGGCTTCAGCAATGCCAGACAGGCCATAGGTCGGTGACCCAAGGGAAGGAATGGTCCTGGACTACACGCTGACTTTCCCCCAGGTGGCCTTGCTCTTGGATGGGGACATGTAGGGCTCTTCTGGCTGTTGAGCAGAGCAGGGTGGCTGGGCTTTCTGTTTGTACTGGGAGGGTGTGGGTTGGGGGAAGGGTCTGTGAGAGGCCCCTGGGAGAAAAGTAAAAGGGCCCCAGTGAGGAGAAGCTCAGGAGGTCTGTGGCCAAAAAGTTATGGGGTGGGAGGGGGATAATATTTGGGAAGAGCACAGGAAACAGGATGGATGAAAGGCAGTTTCCGGCTCTTTGAACAGGGCTGGCCCAATCAAGGGAAGCAGGACAGAGCCCTTCAGGACAACCCTGCAGGGACTAGGACCCTCTCTGCAATGGCAGGTCAGTGCTGCCCCACAAACATGGCTCTCACTGTGTACAGCTCCCAGCCTCCAATCTCCCTGTTCTGCTTCTCTGTCCCCCTGCCGAGAGGCTGATGAGCTGACTGTGCAGGGGGCTGATGGGGATATAGGAGTGCTACCAGCAATGCTTGGGGCCCAAGAAGGAGGAGCTACAGAGGGCAGGCCTATAGTCCTGGTTGATAATCCACACCTAGGTCTGTGGCCAGAGAAACTGGTAAGCTGATTGCTGGAGAAGGGACTGAGCCCCAAGGTACCCAGACCCACAGTACAGCATCTGAAACAAGCCCTGAAAGATTCTGCTGGGCCCCGCCCCATCAGTCTCCTGGCTCCTGAGCCCCCTCTTTCTCTCTGTAGTTTAAGCAAATGCTAGAAGAGGTGGGACGCAGCAGAGCCACCACTCACCAAGGTGCTGCATGCTGGCGGGCAGGGCAGCAGCCTCACTCCAATGGTCAGCACTGGAAACCGAACGGGAGCGCTGGTGCAGCCCCTTGGGGCGCACGCCAGCCCAGGCTGGGCTGCTGTGGGGGTGATCAGAATGCAGGGATGCACTGCTGGCCGAGTGGGGGGCTCCTGGGGGAGGGGAAGGATCAGGCTGGGACGAGGGGCAGGGGGGGCTGACAGAGATGAACTAGACAGACTGTAGGACAGAGCCCGGGTCAATGCCAGCCCAGCGGGATAGTGACCAGAGAGGAGGGTGGTGAGCCAGGCTCACTGGGGTGTGCCGAGGCCTCCTGAGGCCTCTACACCTGAAGGAGACTACTCCCAGGCTTCATATCCTCCTTTCTCCAAGAACATAAAGGGCCACACTCATCCCTGTGATTTGAGAGCTGGGAAAGGCAGGGGCATGGGGTGTCACACGAGGTCATCCATCCCTGAGGTCTCCTGGCCAAGGCTGAGTGCTGCAACCTGTCACTCCCCTTAGGCCCCTGCATCTAACATTTTAGTCTGCATGTCATTCCTTTTGCCTCAGCTTTGCTGCCATTCTGACAAGAAATAAGTGTATCGAATTCAAGTAATTATGTCTAATTAGTATTAGTAATTATCCTGTTGGGCTGGAGAAAATTAATCTTTCCTTTCCCATCAGGGAGGAATGGCAGAGCCAAGGGAATCGAAGGCTTGAGGAGTTCAAGGCTGGGCAGGCGCAGCTGGGCAAAGAGGACGAACACTCAGCTTTCTCTGGCTTCACTCAGGGCCCAGCTAGAGGCCTTCTACAGACAGCCTGGCAACAGCCACAGAGCCTGTGTCACTTACAGGGCCTAGGAGCCTAAGCTGCTTTCCCCTTCTTCTTCCGTGTCCCCGAGAATGAGAGGGTGGTGATGAGGCCAGGAAGAAATGTCCCAACAGACAGCCTAGGACAGGTGGGCCAAACCCAAATGGCTTTAGGCCTCCTGAGAAGCTCTAGTGTGGAGGTTCCAGTGGAAGCTGATGGCTGGGAGCCAGCCAAACTGGAGGAAGCAGGTACAGGGGCAAAGTGCAATGCCACACAGCAGGCCTTACAGCCTAGTAGGCAGGCATGTGGATGGGATTTCCGGGTGTCTAAGGAAGCCCAGAGCTGAAGCAGCTGCAAGAGGAAGGGAGGGGAGGCCCTATGCTTCAAATGCTCTAAGGAGTGCCCCTTCAAGGCAGAGATGAGCTAGTTGCTACCCCTCTATTTGCTGTAACACCCACAGTGACTGGACACGGTAAGTGCTTGTAACATAAACATGGTACCCAGGCCTCAGCCCCCGTCCTCAGGTCTCAGCTCCCTTCCTAGTACTTGCAGCCCTCCCTAAACCCTGGAGGCCCCTTGCTTATCCCTACTTCTTCCTAGACCTGATACCTCCTGGATTCCAAATAGGACCCCGAATCCCTTGCCTGGACCAAAGGTATCATAGGCCCAACTTCCTCCCCAAGTCCCCCAACCTAAAACCCTGAGGGAAGGAAAGTGCTTTCCCTTTTCTTTGTTAATTCTCCCCTCATTACGCCTGCAATCCCACAATCAGTGTGCACTGTAATTGTCGAATTTGATGCTAATGATTAATGAATTAAACATGGAGCCATCAATTAGTCCTCCGAGGATAATTCTGCATAAAGCAGCGGATAATGTAATTACAGTAACAAAGATAATGAGATGTTAACATCGCCCGGTGAGCGAGAGACATGTGTGAGTGTGCATGAGGGTCGGTGTCAGCGTGCGGCAGAGGGGACTCGTGCTTGGGAAGCGTCATCCATGTGTTTCTGTGTGGGTGCAGTAATTAGAGGAGCGAGTTTCTGGGGCTCCCTCCTGCATTCCACTGTGGCATCCTAGGTGAAGGCTAGGTGGGTGGGCCCAGGGTAGGACGGGACAGTCAGAGACGCCTTGCTTCTTCCACTTTGAGGGAGATTACGCAGCTTTCCTCTCATTACCCATCTTCAAGGAAAGGTCTGCTTTCTGGCCACCTTACTCCCTCCCACCTATGGTTCCAACAAGAAACCCCATGCCGAAGTTGGCCAGATGGGGATCCCTGCACGAGATTCTGGGACACATCCTAATGTCTCAGCCCTGAGGACAGCATATGACCCATTATTTCTGCCACCAAGGCCAGGCTTTGCAGCCCTCCCTACTCAGCAGACTCTCAGCAAATTACCATCATAGGTGGACTGTGTTTTCCTTGGCCTGCTTCCTTCCCACCACCCACTAGAGCTCTCCCTGTATATGCTTCCAAGAACTCCCCATTTCTGGCTCAGATGGCTTAAAGGAAGCAACAGAGTAAATCCTTGATCCCACCTTCAGAAGAATTTTATAGACAGAGTCGCTCACCTCTCAGTCTTTTGTTTCCTAATGAAAAGAAGACAATAATCTCCACAGCACTGCTGTGGCCCTGGTGCCTGGTTCAGAGACATCCTCTGTGCTGGTTCAGATCAATTCGTGACATGAGTTTCGTCTTTCAGCTCTTCCCTCCAGTCCACTCAGAATGAACCAACCACAAATAATGTGCCTTGCTCCAAACAAGGACCATTCTTAGAGGGTGGCAGAGTATAGCTCAGTGGTAGGGTATTTGCCTAGTGTACACAGGCCCTGGGTTCAAATCCCATCAGTGTTTACAGTAAACAATTCTTTACTGTTTGGGGTGACTCAATATACTTAGGCCCATCTGTGTAGTCTCTCTCAGTATCTATGACACTTTCCTATCATGTGACAAGAACTCCCCACAACTCAGGGGAAAATCTACATTGCTATGAGTGTGCCTTTATTTGGGGCAAGGCATGGGGTCAGAACTGGTGAGGCCACTTGTGTCCTGAGCAGCAGGACACTGAGCCTGCAGAAGGGCCCAGGAATCCAGAGCAAGTCTAGGATCAAGGAAAGTGGGTGAGGGGAGGAAACGAGGCCCAGGGAGGGCGAATGGCACCAGGCCCTGGAGACAGAGAGCTTTCCTCAAGACCACACCGTGACACGAAGAGGTAAGAATACAGCAGGGACCAGAAGATGACTCTGATTAAAAGCACACACTGCTCTTCCAGAGGACCTGGGTTTGATTCCCAGCACCTACATCAGGTGACTCACAACTGCCTGCAACTCCAGTCCCATGGGAATCTGGATGCTTCTGGTCCCTACGGAAATTTACATGGTCCCTACGGAAACTTGTAATCATAGTCTCGTAAACATATACAAGCATAAACTCACCCACACCCGCACGCATCCACATAAATAAAAGAATATACAGCCATAGAAAAGCTACCCAGATACAAGTGTCCTCTTGTGGTCCCCATGGGTGTAGAGGATAGTTCTCCTGACCTCCTAAACCACTGTGTTTAGACCCAGTGCTTTCTGTGCAGACCCTGCATCTACGACAGACTTGAAATGGTTGCCAGACAACTCTATCCTGCTCCTGTGGCAAGCTGAGTGGATGGTCTACCTTAGCTAAAATTGCAGGGAGGCCATCCAAGGACCACTAGTTGTCTCCACACCCCGCTCCTAAGGCTCCCAGGCCCCACCTGATAGCCAAGGCTATCTCAGCAAGCTCCACTGGGTTTGCATATAGAACATGACTCCTGGTAGAGAGAATCTTCAAGTGTGACCTTAGCTGGTGAGCATATCTGAGGCTCTGTCCCGAGAGGCCCAAGTGTGACCTTAGCTGGTGAGCATATCTGAGGCTCTGTCCTGCGAGGCCCATTTACACACACTCCCCCATTTCTACAACTTGCCACTCTCACCATCACAGCAGCCCCCTTACCTGCGCCCCCGCCCAGCTGTGGGTTACTTCGCTCCATGGCCAACCCATTGGCACGGGGACTGGTGCCTGGGGCTGTGGTAGGTGTGGCTCGGGGCAGGCGCTTCCCTGGCACTTTGACTGTTGTCCGCAGAAGGTCAATCTCCTTGCCATGGATGTTCTGCATGTAATCCTAAAGGTGCACAGACAGTAGGAAATGCATCAGACTGGGTCTCCTCGGCAGCGTGTCTCCAGGACTATCTAGGCTGGGTCTCCTCGGCAGCGTGTCTCCAGGACTATCATCTAGAACACTTCCCTCACTACCTGGTGTTGGGTTGGGGGGCAATGATGACACACTCTTAGTCCCAAAAAGCAGGTCTTTGAGGCACAACAGTCTCCAAATCTGGATCACATCCAAGCCTTCAGAGGGGCGGAGTCCAGCTAGGAAGATAGGATAGGATGAAGGGCTAACGAAGGCTCCGGAACCAAGCACTTAGGCTCAAGGCCATGGCTTAGGTGGTAAAGAGACAGGGCTTAGGGAGTGAGTACCTGTGTGGCTGAGGAAGGGAAAGAACAAACTCTGGTTTAAGGACAGAGCAGCCCCACGTTCCCATGACGCTCCTATCACAAGCTGGGCATTGAGGAATGAATAATCAGCCCTTAGGACGGCCCCAGATAATAATTTATTGAATAGTTTATAAGACAGTCTTTGATTCTTTTTGATGGACTTGTGAGTGTATCAACACACACAGGTTTTGGTCAGTGGGACCTGTCACCATCAGACTGTCATTTGCCCATCCCTGGGCTGTATGTTATGCAGAATGCATTTATCAGTATATTTCAAATCCCAACCAGCTGAGTGAGGTGTTTCCAGGCTCAACTCACGGCAATCCTCCTGTCTCAGTCTCCAGTGTTCTTTGCCCTATGTTGGAGATGAAGAAACTGAGGCTTAGGAATGTTAATCTGTCCAAGATCATAGTGGGTATTGGAGCTGGACCAAGACCAGGTTTGCAGAGTGTCAAGGCTGTGCTTTGCAGGTGACATCCTTAGCTTGCCTTAAATCATGGCCCCAGACTACAGAAGCTGGACCTGACCTGGAGCCTGGCTTTGACCGCAACTTGTCCCTTGATAGTTCCAAGCTCTCACTCTCCATTCTGTATGACAAAACTTCCTCCGTTGGTGCAATTTAACTCCCCAAGAGAAGAGTCTAGAGTTGTGCTGATCAGACATAAAATCAGATTCTCTAACTGAAGTTCTTGAAATCTTGCATAAGCCCTTTGCCTTTGCCATGAAGCCTAACTGAGCTTGTAGCCATCTTGGTTCTCAAGGTGGGCATGCCATGTTTTCAGGCAGACAATCTTCAGGAGGGCCTGAACCTAACCAACTGCTGGTCCTCCACAGGTGTGTTCAGGGAGGAGCTTCAATCCCTACCACCACTGCAACGCGACCTGTGTCTTCCTGCTTTGTCTATTCCTATGACAAGACCTGGCTCACGTATACTTGTTCTGAGATTCTGTTCATCTTCTTGGATTCACAGAACCATCTACCAAGAAATCTAAGAGAATAGCCTCCAACCCAGGACCCTGACAATTCTGGCCTCAAGGCTACCCACGGAGCTCTAGCTGCTGCTCTGGGCCTCACCAGCACCCAGCTCCACCAGATTCCGGGCAACCAACACAGCATGAGGCCTAGACTTCAGCTGTGCAGAGGAGCCTGCAGGCCCCTTGTTGTCCCCCACACCAAGGACCGCCTCATCTGACCATTCTCTGCCCCACCGGCCCTGTTGTTGGTCCTCTGGCCTTAGTTTTCCTGTCTAGTACGTACCCTCAGAGTCTCAGTCTTGGCTCTACATGTTCTTATCTCTAGGTTCCTGGACACACTGATCTCTGCTTCCTGCTCATCCTCATCTTCAGTCCCTATATATAACCACATCTTAACCAGCTGCCCTCGACAACTGCCAACAGCTGGCTGGGCCAAAGGCCCAGCTGTAGCCCCTCTCCTGAGGGAGGGGCTTGGGTTGCTCCAGTTCGCAAGGAGGTCACAGCAATTATAATAGTCTTCAGACCCTACTCAAGCTCTGAGATGCCCAAAGCTGGGATGTAGTGCACACACACACAAAAAAAATGACCCTAGGCCAAGAACAAGAGCTGCACAGAGGGACTTCACTTCGTTCAGGGCCAAGGAGCCAGAGGCTGGCTAGCTAGCAGAGAAGGACTGCCCAACTCACACATCTGACTACACCGTGTCTTGTGGTGACACCCTCAGAAGTTAGGGCCAAGAGTTGGGTTGCTTGCTGCAGTCTGGGCTTGGAGGGCATGGTGAGGAGCCTGGAGGAACAGCAGCAGGAACGGGGGCCTCAGGCAGAGAGCAATCGTGTTTCCCTCAGTCAGCAGAACAGGGGAGCGTGGTGGTGGCAGCGGCTGCTCAGGAGAGCGGTCACCACGGCTGCCTTTATTACCCACCATCAAACAGCAATTTCTTCCCCAGCCTCCTCGCTAATTACCCAGCCAGCGTTCTCATCTCGTTTTATTACTGGAATTAACAACGAGTTCAGAGCGTGGAAAGCTATTAAGATGTGTGATTAAGCCACATTCAATTAGTTTCTACAAACAATTTAATTGATGTTGCAGATAGAATTAACAGAAGGTGATTGTGTGAATGGCTCCGCTGGCTGCAAAATGGGGGCGGCTGTGGCAGGCTCTCTCGGGCCAGGCGAGACTCGGGCTGGAAGCGTGTGGCCTGCCCACCAACTCGTGCTCCACATGCTGGGTCCAGCAGCTCCCATTAGCAGGAGAGGCCCAGACACTGTGGTTCTGGCTCTCAGGTGAGACCTGTGCCCTTCAGGAGAGCCAGACAGGCCCAATGCTGAGGGCGCCTCTGTGAGGCGGAGAATCGCTGGGACCTTTCTTCCACTGTCCAGATTAAGATTCCAGCATCTCAGAGATCCATGATTCTTGCAGGTTAGACTGCTAGGTCACTGCTGTGCTAATCCACTTCTGAGGTCAGAGGGAGATGGCAAATGGGAGATGGAAGGGAGAAAGCAGCAGCAGGAAAGGGCGAGAATGCCAAAGCCACGGGCCAGGTGAAGAGGGAAAGTCCAGCCTAGGGACCACCCAGGCCCGAGGGCACAGCCTCACAGTTTCATGCTGTGTCCAAGAAAAAGCTTTCAGGGGGAACTAGCAACTCTCTGATAAGGCCAGGCTGACTGCTCTGCCATAGCCTCCTGATAGCCAATGGGGGGGGGGGGGCTCGACACGACCGGCTTTCTGGCTGCCTTTGGGACACTAGCCACACAATCCTCATAGAGCCCAAGGGGACATGGAGGGTTAGAATCCAAGAGGTTAGTCCAATAAGCTGTCACCTGTTAAGAGTTCACCCCGTAAGCTCATAAGGGAAGGCCTGGAAGCTCCTGCCCCCAGGTCCTGTCACAGGCTCCTAAGCACACAGCACAGTTATGATGAGAAGGACTCCTAGGGAACTGGATGTCCAGCCAGGCCTCTGGCAGCTTTACCTGACTTTATTCTCTGCTCTGATTTTTTCAGCCAGTCTCAGAGGTAGGTATTTTTGACAAGCTTTGGCAAATCTGGGTAATGTTGATTATGATGGATCCACATCTTGGCTCAATTACCAGCTGGGTGGCTTGAACATGCTACAAACCCACCAAGCCACTACTTTCCATCTGTGGCTGTAGAGATAATGCTCCTACTACCTTCTTTCCTTCTGGTTCTAAAACCAGAACCTAGCCTGATACAATCGACCCCCCAACTCCTCCATGTTTCTATCCTTCTCCTCCACCCTGGCTCCCCTCACTTTCCAGTTCAAGGAATAGCAAAAGGGATAGACCCCCACACCCAGCCACAATTGCACAAACAGAAAGACACTGCTGAGGATGCACAGGAGGCCGCTGAGGCCACCCACACAGGAAGGAGGCAGGTGTCCTGGTCAGCTAGTTCTCAAGCTCCTTGGTAAATACAGATGTAAATACAGAGAGAACATATGCAAAACTCATGAGAGCTGGCAGGTGCTGCAATACATAGCCCACTTCCTCCTGCAACCAGGGAGAACCCTTCAGAACCCTTTTGTAGGAAACACCCTGAATCTCCTGTCTAGCACATATTCCTCTAAGCCTTCCCAGGTGTAGGGCTCCATGGTGAGGCCTTGTACTGCACTGTACACTGTAGGCCTAAGCCACCTTTTATCTCTGTAGCCAGTGCCACCTGAATTAGCCCAATGAGGGCGTGGGAGAAGGCTGAGGGAGGGCTGTGTGAGAAGCAGGGTAGACGAAGGTGAGAAGAGTCTGCTGTAGGACACTGATGTGGCCCTTCATCTGTCAGGGACCAGACCACCACTACCTGGCAGTCTGGCACAGGACCTCACAGGATTAACTTGACCAATGTTCCCTGAGTTAAGGGGAAAGGCCAGTACCCGGAGAATCAGAAGAGGGAAAGATCAATGGGAAGGCCAGGCTGCAGACGAGTCTGAATGGTGGAGACTTCCCGAGGCTTGCTCTGCCCAGGCCTCCTCCTCTGGAAGGTTGTCTAGGGAAGCCTCTTAGGACCAGGTAATGGCCAGGAAATGCAAACCCTGGAACCTGTAGGGCAAGGTCTCCCTGACACTGTGTGCAGATTTAAAGATAGGTTAGGGGCCCTCTGAGGCAAGCCCAGAGCCTCTGGGCGGGGGTGGGGGGAGGTGGGGCTGGCCCACGTGCTGTGCTCGAGGGCTTCACAGGAGAACTCATTAGCCCCACAGTGGGGTGGTGACAGAGATGGATTCTGGTGACAGCTGTGTGTTGGAGCCACGCGGTGAAGGGAGGAGAAGGAACGAGGGTAGGGAGAGCTGCCACAGGGGCCACATTATGATCAGTGGAGCACCCGTGCTCCCACTGCTGGGGACCAGGCCATGTGTTCTTTAGACCCTTCCACTCCTCCTAGGCCAAGCTCCACACCCTAGCTCACCCAATGAGTGCTCCTCACTGCCATGGTCACCCTCAGATGCTTGTTTGGTAATATCCATGCCCTTGGCCACAGACATTCTACAGTGACATGGGGCACAGAGCCTGGCTGGCAAAGGAGGGGCAAGCTGGCCACAACAACCCAGCATAGCTGGTGGGGAGCTTGCTTTACAGGAAAGGTAAACCTGGGTTCTCTGCTCTTCCCAAACTATTAAGTCCGGTGCATTCTCAAAGGAGACCCCATGAGACCACCAAGAGTCCTTACTCTGTCCCTCATCGCCACTCCTTCTCCAGGACTTACGTGCAGGCTGGGATGGTAAGTAAGTAAACCGTTGTCACAGAGCGTCACATACTTCTTCTTCCACTCCTTGTTCAAGGACTTGCCACTCCTTTTTAGCAGGATCCCCTAAGAACAGAGGTACAATTACGGACCAGGAGTTGGCTTGTGTAACACTGTGACCCAAGGCCAGGGTTCTGACTAGAGACCAGCCCAAAGGTCTCTGAGTTCTGATGCCGGGGACCTGACTAGAGGCCAGGAACCAGCCCAGCACAGGAAGGTCACAATGTGATCAGTAACTCAAATCCCCACCCTATTTTCTAAGGGAACTGCTACATCTGAGCAGAGGGGTTAAAGATTGCAGGTACAGAGGGAGAGCAGGAGGACATCTTCCCACCGGCTTTGCTCTCACTGGCCGTCCACTGTAACTCTAGAAGACTCTACAAGAGAGTACAAGGACAGCTACAGGGGCTTCTGTCTTCTACCACCAGAGAGAGAACTCCAATATGGGGCAGAAGATTCCCCTAAGCGTCCCAACAATGCCCCAGACCCCATGCTAGGCATCAAGAAGTCCAAGCCTCCCATCTCAGCCACCAAACTTCCCGGGTAAGCCAGTGAGATGTCCCTTGCAGTCCAGTACAAGGTTTTCATCCATAAGATCTCTACACCAAGCTATATACCCAGTTTTCTTTTTATAGCAGGTTCTGGCTAAATTGTCTAGACGCACTCTATAGCCCAGCTGAGCCCAGAACAGACTATCTTCCTGCATCAGCTCCCTGAACGGCTAGGATTACAAGCCTATACCCACAAGGCCTGACATGATGTGTTCTTCAAATGTGGAGGTCCAACAGCAAGGCCCATGAGCATAAGGACATTTGTGTGGGCTATGTTTGCTATGTTTGCACACAGCACAGCACCTGGGCCATATCAGACACTCAGAGGTCTGTTGGAAGAACTGGAAAAAAAGCACATACACCCCCAAGACTGTGTAGCTGTCAAGAGATGAAGGCAGGACATAGAACCTGATGGGTAACAGCCACCCACAGCATGCCTGCCTTCCTCCCTGAGAGAAACCCACTCTTCTAATTGTCCCGTAAAGAGGTCCCAGCACTGCTCCGAATCACTCCAAGACCACAGCACAGGAAAACAGCTGGAACATGAGCACTACAGATGGACACCAAGTGGCTGGTCCCCCAAAACCCCAACTCAGTACAGGTAGAGAAGAAGCATGTGGTAAATTCACAGACTGGGATTTGGTGAGAGGAGTTATGACAGACATTTCTGGCATAGCAGGAAGGTATACTCTGGGCTCCCCCAAGGGGGTAAAGGTAATAATGCACAAATGTGGAGGCAAACAGTGGGCGCAGCCCTCAGCCAGCCAGTAAGAGAACCATGGAGGAACACCAAAGAACAGGCCAAGTATCAGATTCAGCCACACCCTTCTTTCCTTCCTTTCTTCCTTTCTTCCTTCCTCCCTCCCTCCCTCCCTTCCTTCCCTGAGTCCTTTTTGATCTAGTGGATGAGATTAGAATGTGTAATTAAGGGGTGAGGATGGTGGCACATGCCTGTACCCCAGCGGCTTGAGAAGTTGAGGCAGAAGGCAAGTCGGCCTAGATTACATAAAAGGCATTTTAGGATTTATAAGTGTTCTCCCCCCTGGCCACTAGGGGGCAAACTGGAAGCTGAGGAAGGGTGCGCAGTCAGGGAAGCCTGAACAGCTTTGGTTCCCAGCTCTTACTTTTCAACAAGTCTCATATCCTTGATAATTCCCCTCCTTCCTCCTCCTCCTGCCACCTTCAAGAGACAAGTGTCACTACCCGAGATGCAATGGTACTCCTAGCATTTGGGGACATACTCTGCTTCCTGATGGTGAGAACCTACCCTCAGATGGAACTTCTGAAGACAGCCTGCGATAATTTTTAAAAGCCATCAGTTCCCCAGTCATATTGTCTGTGAAAGGCCCTGAGAAGATCGCCTGGGGCCCTGTGTGTGGCTGTAGTGTCCCTGCCATTGCCCAGCGGCAGAAGAAGCAGAGGAGAGCCAAGTTGTTCCCTCTCCCTGACACTTAGCAATGGTCCCCAAGGGCCAGCAGCCTCTGAGGACAGACAGCCATCAGGAAAGCAAAGGGAAGGAAGCCAGGTGGGACAGTAAGGTGCAGAATTTCCTGGGAGACCCCGGTCATCACAGGGCTGTCCTCTCACACTGAACCCTGCCCTGTCACTAGTGGTGAGCTACTGCCTCCGCGCCAGCAGCTCTGAGCCCGGCTGGGTCAGCGCGGTCTTGAGACCACAGGCCTACTCAGGCCCTCCTCCACCTGACTAGGAGGTCAGAAGCCAGACTGCTGCGGAGGCAGCTCGGGAGCGAAGGCCTTTCTGCCCAACAGAACGCCCGACTCCCTTCCGCTTAATGAGGCTCGTTAGCAAAGGACGTGGGCGTGGCGCCCAGGGCTCGCCAACAGGCTAGAGGGCGGGAGGGCGACCCTGGCCCACGCCCCCCACCCAGCCTTGCTGCCTCCACCCTCCAGCCTGGGTTCCAGGAGGGAGAGAAGCTGCGGGGTTCCCGCTCCCTCCCTGGCCGGCCGGCTGCGCACCACGGAGCAGGAAGCAATCTGGGGCGGAATGGGAGCGGTGCGGAGGCGACAGCCCCCAGAGGACCCGTTCCCGCCGCCGCCTCCCTCCCAGCTCCGCCAGCCGACTTAATTGCGGAGTCCGGATTGATTGGGAATGCAAATGGCAACTGAAATGCAATCTCCACTCCCAGCAGGAGCTAGGGGGAGGGGAAGGAACCGAAATGGGGAGCACGGGACAGGAGGGCGGGGAAGGGGAGGGACCACGAATGTGGCAGGGGAGACCTGATGGGCTCTTGGGATTGGAATACACCCAGGAGGACCGCAAGGTGCATCTGAGAAGAGCGTTGGTCCCCCTCCCTCATGGGCGGGGCCTCTCAAATGGGCAGTTGTCCCCCCTACCCCACCCCCACACACCCGGCAGGTGGACATACAGATGAGCGACCTCATCGAGCGACCTCATCTCCAGCACAAAAGATAGACACAGGCCAGCCAACTACCAGGGCCTCAATGCAGGAGGGGCCCTTCCAAGAAGCTCAAGGAATGTTAACACCAAAGAGACCACCTGACTTCCAGGCTGCAAGTTGACAGGACTCCCTCTCCCCTGTACCCCTGCAGGTGGAGGACACAGAGAACAAATAATCCGGCCTCCAGCTACTGCAACCCCCAAACAGGAAAGCGAGTGGGAGCTGAGGCAAGCAAGTGTTCTCACTCACTCATCAAGTGTGTTTGGGTGTGTATAATAACACCGCCACCACTTTGAAAGCACCTGCCATCCTCCTCACCCTGCCACTCCCACACAGGCAGGTGACTAGGCTGCATCCATGGTGCGCCAGCAACAGAAGGCCCTGGACTCCTGGATGAAGCCACAAACAGGATTCTGTGCCATGATTCTGTGGACACAGGAACACACTGGCATACCAAGGGACAGGAGTGAGGGGACTGTCGTCCCTGCCATTCTGTGCTCTCAGCCTTTTCAGGTGACTCCCCTCCCAGGAGACTGACCCAAATGGAATGGTCCCTGGCAAACATAAATTCAGTCAAAAGAGGGGTGAAGAGAAGGCAGGAGAAAGAACGGGGTGCACATGTGGCTCCCTGCACCACCCTCTCTGGGCCCTTACAAGCCTCCCCGGACGAGTTCTTCTAAATGCACCTTCACAGAGCATCAGAACCCCCACCCCCACCCAAACCCTAACACATCATGCAGACCAGGGACTGGCCTGACCCTGGCCTGCCAATGGACCCACAAGTCCCTGGAAGGGTTAAACCTGCCCACAAGCTCTGGCCACATCATTCTCCTCTGGGGTCAAAACCTGGCAACATGTCCCTCCGCAGCCACCAAATACTTGGAAGACCAGTCCCGAGAAGGGTCCACTTGGCACACTTAACTCCTAGCAGCAGCACTGGACAGAGCTCCTATCCAACCCATGAGCTATCACCGTCATCAGTCCACCCCTTTCCAGCACAGGCACCCCATTGGGAGGTGTGGATGACCTAGTGGTCTCCGAGAAGGACTCAGAGAGGAGGTGGAGAGGGCTGGAGAGATGACTCGGCTGTTAAAGGCTAGGCTTACAAGGTGGAGAGAGATCAGAGGGTGACGCCTCTACTGAACTTTTTCTTTAGAAGAAGGTACAGAAATTCACATGCTTTCTTGATAAATACATCACACCCCTCATCAGAGAACTTTCCATTTGCACAGAGAATAAAGGACCTTGGACTTAGTGCCCAGCCCTAAGTGGGACATTTATGCCACAACCCCACACTTAAGGCTTAGGAACACGACAGAAGAGCGAGCAGAGAGATCCTTTCTAAGAACTAGATGACCAAGACAGTGTCTTCTGGACATGACAGGGATGTTGCTGAGGAAAGAGAACCAGCTCTCCTCAGGGATGAACCCAGATAGGCTGTCTACACCTCAGCAGTGAGCCTTACACCCATATACATACAGGTAGCAGTAACTGGATCCAGTAGGTGAGAAAGAAAAAAAAATAACAAGGAATGCTCACAGTGGAAAGACTGCACCAGTAAATCCCAGATGGGATTATCCCTCAGTACTGCCTCTCTGTGGTTCATGCTCCTTTGCCTGGCTTGTGTTTTTAAGACAGGGTTATGCTATGTAGACGACACTGCCCCAGGCTTCCTTATACAACTCAAGCTGGCTTCCCGAGTCCTGGGGTTACAGACATGTGCCACTATGCCCAGCCCCTAATGTTACTGCCTTCAACTGTTTTCCTTAGCCCAGAGTCCGGGAGGCACCCCGCCCCAGGTCTGGAAGCCAACCGAGGGCAGCAAGTGGCTCTCTGCTGCTCTCCGGTGGTGATGAGGAGGGAAGACAGCTGTCTAGGGACCAGGTTGTTGGGTCTCAAGCTATAGACCAGAATCGCCTGTCCCTTGTATTAAAAAATAAAAATTAAAAAAAAAAAACAAAAAAAAAAAAAACGGAAGGCCAGGGAGGTCCTGGAGAAACACACACACATCCTGGGCCGAGAGGAGACAGAGTGCTGACCTGCTTAATGGGGATGGCCCGGCCGCTGCCGATGCTGTCTACTTTGCACTCGGCAGCCTTCTTCTCCCGGTCCAGGTCAGCACCTTTCCGAGACTGCAAGAGAAAAGAAGAGACGTGTTAGCGGTCT